CTTGTATTTGATTTTCCAATTCATTCTTCATGCTTGGGAAATTTTCTGATATTAATTCATTGAAGAGATTGTGCATTCCTTTGGTGTGAATCTCTGAACCTTCCTCGATCCCGATAACTCATAAATTTGGTCTTTCGATGGTATCCTATAATTCTTAGATATTCTGTTCATGGTTCCTTTCTATCTTCTCTGTGAGGTCAACTTTATTTTCAAGATTGTATATTTTGTCTTCATTATCTGAGGTCTTGTCTTCCAAGTGGTCTAGTCTGTTGGTGATGCTATCAATTGAAGTTTTTAATTGGCTTATTGTTCCTTTCATTTCAAGGATTTCTGTGGTTTTTTTTTCAGTATCTCTATCTATTTCTTGAAGTAATCTCTTTCAACCTGTATTTGATCTTTTATCTCTTTTTTTGGTGTGATTGATGGGCACCTGAATTTGTTCTCTTATCTCTTTGTAGGAGGGATTGATTCTTGCCTGTATCTGCTAACTTAGGTTGTTTTTAAATTCCCAAACCATTTTAATTATGTATATTCTGAACTCCTTTTCTGACATTTCACTTACTTGACTATATATGGATTCTGTTGTTGTAGTTTCTTGGTTTGTTTGGGGCACTTTTCTCCCTTTTTTTTTCATGATGTCTATGTGTCCTTCTCTCTTGCAGTGTAGATCTGAGGTATTACAACTTCTGCCTTACTGTGGTATAGTGTGCCTACAGATTACTAGTACTTCACTTTTAAGGGAGAGATCAATATTATAGCACTCAATGTACCCAACGTGCAGCCATATATCAGTTAGCTCCTATTTTTGCATTTACAGTTTTGTCACTATAAATAGAAATGGTGAGTTTGGTTATCTTCAACCATATAGTCAATAGGTTTGCATAATGGTTTACTGTTTCTGATGGTGGAAGGGGTACTGGGGGATTGGCTGAGATGTTTATGAAGTAGGATGTGAGAATATGAATGTATTAGATTATATGACTAGTGAGAGGATAAATAGGAAGTTGGCTGTTAGTAGGAGAAACAAGAGATAGGCAACCCTATGCAAGTCTCCCCGTTACCTCAGCAAAAGAATAACTGCTAGCACCCCTAGTAGAGAAACCTCTGGTGCAGCCAGGCCACAGGGATGTCTTACCAGGTCCTTATTGTTGTCTCTTGATAGAAGTGGCAATATCCCAGCTTTGGGGTGGTGGCAGCCTCAAGCCTGTATGTTTCCTGATGTTGGGCTGTGGGGCCACACTTTGGTGAATAAGGAACTCCAGCACGGGGTGGCTCTGTGTGTGTGTGTGTGTGAGGGGGGTGGCTCTGCCCCTGAACTCCATGCTGCAGGTGTGGGATGAGTGGGTGGGCTCTGCCCGGAATTCCAGGCTGCAGTGGAACCCTTATCTCATCTCTAAAGATGATGTTTGAGTATAGAAAAGGGTTATTATTTCTAATCCTCTGGTCATCGTTCTCTCCATCAAATTTTTCTATAAGCTTGGGAATTATTATATATGTACAGTAAAACCTTCTCTTTTAAGGTGGACATCATTTGTTTTTAAAGCTATAGTTTCAATGATGGACTAGGCATAATACTTATGTGTCTTTATTACTTGCTTGTAGTTAATACCTATTTTTATTTTGTAGGTCTGCAACAATTTTCCTGTTCTC